TATATATATATATATATACCGAGTCATCCTTTTTTGCATGTAATTAAAAAGAAATTAATATCATTTTGTCTTTCAATGAATTTATTGAAACTAGTACACGATTTAAGAGCTTGCGATTTTTTCACTCAAATAAATTCACAATTTAAAATTTCAAAATAAAGGACAAAATCTTTTATCTAAATTAAAATCAAAGTCGTGACGAGTCCAAATTTCGGCGAAAAGCCGATTTGCGTTGGTAATGTTATTTGGGCGTTACCATGTGATTAATGTTTGAAAAATGTTGGTCGTTCTAAACATAAAATGGACTTAATTGAACAGGCATTCCTATCCTAACTGTTAATTATGATGGCCAAAAGATTAGCTCGAAGAGATACATTGGCATGAGGCTTGTGGATCAAATATGCTGCTTTTGCTTGGAATACCAATATTGTAGATTCGATTTACATTGGTTGTGATATTAATATTAATTAGTCCCATTATTGTGCTTAGCTCAAAATGAGAAGAATCTTTCTTCTTTGAAAGTCTTCTTTCTTATTATTTGATGTATGCTAGAAGATTTGTGACAGTCGAGTAACATATTGTTGTATTAGTATTGTACGAGAATACAACACAAGTTGAGAAAAATGAAGAAAATCAGTAAAGATACTAGAAGTTTTTACATGAAATGTTCCACTATGAATTAGAGATTTCAGGTATAGAATCTTATCTCATAGGCAAAAAAGAGTTATATAGCTTCTTGAGTTACAATCTTAGTGCGCAGAAGAACTCGTCTCACAGTATGGAGCTATCGCGGTGGGGAGTAATTGTTGTAGCTTTAGTACATCATCTTCAAAGTTGACATAACATTTGGGATAATACACTGCTTCGCACGTAGCTGGATTTGTCATGAATTTCAATATTTGAGTGAGAATTTGAAACATGTATGAAAGAGGGCGCAAGATTTGGATGATATGTATTTATGTATGTATGTATCATAGGCCTTCACTTTTTATGTCGCAAACGCTTGTTCATTGTTGATTGGCCAAGATAGTCCTTGGTTCCTAATGACATATGGCAGGTTCCAATTTCTTTAGCCGTGAATTCCAGTTTTTGATTTCATTTGTCAAGCCACTTTGAGGTCTGTACAGATTATATATTTGGTTTTCAATTATTAATTGATTTTAAATATTCTAAAACTTCAAGTTATTTAAGTAAAATTTATAATCTATTTGCATTTTATGTTAAATATAAATTTTAAGTAAACGATAGATATAGATATATCTATCGTTTACTTAAAATTTATATTTAACATAAAATGCAAATAGATTATAAATTTTACTTAAATAACTTGAAGTTTTAGAATATTTAAAATCAATTAATAATTGAAAACCAAATATATAATCTGTACAGACCTCAAAGTGGCTTGACAAATGAAATCAAAAACTGGAATTCACGGCTAAAGAAATTGGAACCTGCCATATGTCATTAGGAACCAAGGACTATCTTGGCCAATCAACAATGAACAAGCGTTTGCGACATAAAAAGTGAAGGCCTATGATTCAACAACCAATTAATTGGAGCTCGACCTCCCAATAGTTGTTCGTCCCTAACAGGCCACCAACGAAGATCAATCTGTCAGTTATGATTGGCCATCTTCTCGGGTTCTACCATTCATCTCAGATCTTACTTTAATATGTAAATTAAAAAGGAATCAACACAAATCTTGAAGACATCTCACGAATGGGAGAAGTGTGGCCTACCAAGGATGAACTAGAATTATACACTTAGCCGACCAAACCACACATACCGGGAAGATGGAGCACCTCAGATAGATAAAGAGTAGTTCAACTTCGAAGAATCCAACATAAAAGATCCAATCAGATGAACATGTCGCTTTCCAACCTGGACATACTAAGATAGTAAAATGGGTCCTCCCGTTTCAAAATGTTGACATAGATCCCCAACAAAGAGTGGCCCAATCTAACAACTACCCGACTTAATAGCCACCCGGTCTAACAACCTCCCAACCAATATACATGGGCCCCACGGGCCATATTTATGTATAAAGTAAAATACTCATATCGCACTTGCATATTTAAGGGGTACAATATGTAATTGTATCTTGACCCATTCCTATAAATAGGAGGTCTATTTCATGGTAAATGTTACACGAATTTACTATTCATTAATGTTCTCTCTCTATCTCTCTCTCCCGTCCCTTAGCACTCTATTCCTTAGGCCTCTCAATGAGACAATTTTGTATTCAACAATAATAAACATTCATTTTAAATGAACATAAAATAAAACAATTTAAAATCAACTGATAAAAGAAATTTTTAAATACTCTTTCAAAATCTAATAAAAATAGTCTCTTGCTTTACTAAAATTAAGAAAAGGCAGGAAGCAAAGTTTTAACTTACTTATATTTTCAACTTTAAATAAAAAAAAATGAGTAAAGTAAAAAAATAATTCACTACTATTTATATTGAGTCATTTTAGCCTTAGAGTTTATAGAAGTGTCAAAGTATTTCCCGAGTATTTTAAAATTAACCTTTAATAGTCTCGGGAACATTTTGTTCCTTCAATAAACTTTGAGAATAAAACACTCATATAAATAGTCCGGAGCTATTTTGGCTCTTTACACAAAAAAGCTCCGGACTAT